ATCCGATCGAAGGACTTTAATACTACGACCAATTTGTTTCTCCACTTCATTTCTGAATTCTTTGAACTTTTCAAATACTTCAGATTTGTACCTTAATAGGTATACATAACCATACCGTGAAAAATCATCAGTAAAGGTTATGAAATAGTGATAGTTCCCCATAGCACTAACATTTAGTGGTCCACAAACATCTGTATGGATCAAATCCAACAGACCTTTAGCTCGCTCCACTTGTCCAACAAATGGTGATTTTGTCATTTTACCTTTAAGACATGATTCACATGTAGGCAACCTATCCTCTCCCATAAGGTCGAGTTTTGGTCCCAATTTGTGAATCCTCTTTTCAGATATATGACCTAATCTAGCATGCCAAATTGTGAATGAACTATGATTATCTAATTTCCTTTTATTTTGTTGAATGGTTAGGATGGGACTTTCTGGTGTAATGGTATATAAACCATTTGTCAAGTTTCCTGAATATATAAAAGTTGTATCTTTGAAAATAGAACATCTTCCATTTTCAATGACAAACTTAAAACCTTCCTTATCCAATATTGGAATAGAAATAATGTTTCTTATAATATCAGGAACATACAAACAATTTGAAAGACAAACTTTTACACCATTATTTAAAGCTAGATAAACAGTCCCAATTGCTTTGGCAGCAACCCTTGCCCCATTGCCCATCCTTAGGATTGTTTCATCATTTTCTAGCTTTTTACTTCTTGCCATAATTTGCAAATTATTGCAAATGTGTGAGCCACAGCCGGTATCCAATACCCAAGAAGATTCGTTAACTGATAAGTTAACTTCAACAAAATAAATACCTGAACTTTTCAGGCTTGCAAGATATTTCTTGCAGTTCCTCTTCCAATGCCCAGTTTTACCACAATGATAACATTTATTGGGTTCAGTTAATTTGTTTTGTTCAAGGATACTTGCAATTGGATTTTTAGCCATTTTAGTAGAGTGATCTACAAAAACAACAAACGAAGCAGAAAATAATTAAACTATGGAATTTATATTCATTTAATATTAGGTCTTTAATATTAAATGTCTCCCACTATTTTAATTAAAACCCCTTTTTAATTATGAAAATCTAATTTTCATAGTGGGCTTGAAGTCCAATAAAAATATTCCATATCCCAATTTTATGAGTACGCATGGAACATTTATATCGGTAGTCAACTTTTGACAATTGTATCTCTATACAACCTTCAAGATGTTTTGCCTCACCTTTCCTTATATACCTCAATTTTATGACCGTATATATTACTCGGTGTCAAATCAAACCCATCAAAACTTTCATGATAATGGCCCACCAGAGTGTCCCACGACTCATGGTCAACACAAAGAGGAATCCATCTCACGAATATCAATATATTTAATAGAGTTCACAGCTTTCGACATAGAATCATCCCACGACTCGTGGCCAATGATAAAACATCGTAGCATCTCATGTCATCTACTTTTGATGGAAGACCGGGATTAATAAGTTCCAACTTATTTTTATCCATTATTGATTTGATATGGAATTAATCAAATTAATCCGTTTGGGTTCCTTGATCTCATCGATTACCATCTTTACGTTTATTTACCGATTTCAGTCACCTAATGAAACGAAAGCGTAAATAAACCTAACATACATCTAATGCATGGTGGGATGATCATGTCCTTGCCTATTCGATCCATTCGAGCCAAAATGGATCTATGCCTATGTACGTGATAAAACAAATAATAGAACTACTTCTATTACATTTATTCTATCTACCCGTACAAGCACAGGCCTTCGAGATTACAACTTGTAAAATTACCCACACATGCGTGGGCCTTTGTCATCGAACGGTCTCCACCTTGATCTAATCTCTAACGATACAAAATTTAAAATTTTACAAATTTCATCTCAAGAGACTCGCAGGTCTCGATAAATTACATTTCTTCAATCATATTGAAAACATAATTAAACATCCATTCATTCATTCAATCATATTGAAAATGAAAACATCCATTCAAACATAATGAATATGAGGCTCATGATCATCCCTAAAACATTCATCTAATGAAATGAACATAAAATATCAATTTATGAGTCACACGACTCGTGTGAGGGTCACACGACCCGTGTGATCTTATCACACGACTCGTGTGAAAAATACGAATTGAAAATCAAAATTTTTCCCAGACTCACACGACTCGTGTGGCTCGTCACACGACTCGTGTGAGCTCACACGACTCGTGTGACAAGGTCACACGACTCGTGTGAAAATCACGAAGCTAAAATCAAAATTTTTCTTCATGCCACACGACTCGTGTGACAAGGTCACACGACTCGTGTGGCTTAAAAACGATTTTTAATTTTATAATTAATATTTTTATCATATAAAAAATTAATTATATTGCTTATCTCATAAGTCTTAACAAATCAAAATCTGTTTTAAAGACGATAACCGTGGCTCTGATACCACTGTTGGGTTCGATAGTACCGTACGGGCTGTACGCAGCGGAATTTAAAATTTTTAAAGTAAGTATTTATCGTATAAATACAACACCCGTACATACTAATTGCGAATTAACTGATCGTCATCTTTAAAACATGCATCATATACAAATTTTGATTTGTTACTATAAAGTAAATACTAGTAAAAATATTTACCGAATGTCTTGAACTCCTTCACTATTGATGATGGATGAGGGAATCGGTTCCCGGTTGTAACTTCAACGACTTGAGGTTACTCGCTAGAGGAATCCAAGTGTCTTCCCTCTAAACGTATCCACCCTATGAAGCCCGGTTCCGACGACTTTCCTTCGCTAGTAGAAAAGACTCGGTTTTCTTGTATAGGAATATTTATGAATTTTATTTGGGAATTTTAAGAACTCTTTCTTGAAGTTTTATGAAGAACACTTTCTTCTCTTTCTAACACTTAGAAATTTAGGATCAAAAACTTCACTTAAATGCAAAACCATTTTGCATATATTTATACTAAACATTTTAGCATAAAATAATCAACATTTAGTAATATTAAATAAAATCAAATTTTATTTAAATAGTATTTACTAACTTTTGACTTTGAAAATAATAAGATATGTTAAGTAGTTCAAACAACCATCAACAACCATTTTATTATAATCATATTTATTATTTTAATCCTTAAATCATATTTAAAGATATAAATAATAATTGGATAATAAATCTTGAGAATCTTTCTCAAGACTTTATTATTATATCATTTTCCCAATATTATAATAATCATATTATTATTATTTTGGATTTTTGAAATTTAAAATCCTATTTTAAAATTCAACTTTATTAATTTAGTAATTACCTTAATTACTAAAGTAATATCCAAAATGTAATTAATCAATCTTATTGATTAATATATTCCTTTAATTGATATCTAATCAAATTAGATATTTATCAATTAATTCTAACCATTAGAAATACAATCTTTACCTTTGTTCATAATTAGTGTGACCTTTTAGGTTCACCTTAATACTAGTAGTGGGTTTACAACACTTTGTAATTTGAGTTAAATCTTATTAACTCTTATTCATGAATTAACCCTTTAATTTATGAACCCACATATCATGGTAACACCTAGCAAGTAGCATGAATCTAGTATTAAGTGAATAGCGAGTAAACCTATTCCGATTACAACTCCATACATGTAAAATCCTTTCGACATCTAATTTCCCGATTAAGTCTTGGGTATGATTTTGTCGAAACCCAAATTGACTTAATAACTATGATTCTATTTCATGTTTATTAACCCGGTTATGAATCACTATTCATCTCTGCCTTGGCCAAGGACTTTGGATTAATAACTATGAAACACATAGGAAATTCACTTATCTTCATAAGTGTCGAATCCTTTATTGGCCACTAACAAACTTCCATACATATTAACATAATACCCAACTTATCCCTTTAAACGATAGTGCTAGCTACCAAAAGGATAAATCAAAGTAGAATGTAATATGCACAAAGTTACCATTGTGCCTCAAGTCTTAGGATTAGTCATGTACTATTGTAACATGAAAATTCTTATTCGACTGAATAAATTCTTCATTAAGAATTTTCATACGGTCATGTTCAGTGAACTTGTTCTCTAACAAGCACCCACATAAATGTACTTACGTCTTACGCTAATGTTGATGGAATGCAACATTCTTGTCCAACAAGCATACAAACTATGTGCAAGTCTTTTATGGATTATTCGATATCCCATCTCGAAACATCCATCGACTTGGAACTGTATTTAAGATCACGGCTTTCAAGGTATGTTCCATGATCACCATCTCTATGCGCAACCATACCTTATAACCATAAGTGATCTAGGGATTTTATCTTAAGTGCAATTATAAGATAAATGCTTTCTCTTAAGATAAAGAAATGCCTTATTCATAATATAATTCCAATAGACTGTATTTACAAGTAGAATACGTCCAATTAGATTGGAACGCCGGGTACCCTACTCTAACAAGTATACCTTGCTTAAACTTGCTTTTGACTAGTTTTCATGAATTGAATGTTACACCCATTGTGTATTGCATTTTTCAGGATTGCATTTTTCAACTGCATTACACTGTCAAATCTCATACCCAACACAAACTTCAGAGTACTGTGATCACACTTAGGGTCATAAACTACTAACTTCTTCTTAGAATTAGACACCCCAGTAGAATCATCTTCAACCTGTCCATGGTCAGAAATAGGTGAATCAGTGTTCACTGACCCATCAGAATCCTCATAATCAGACTCCAAGTCTCTAACAACTGAACTCTCCTCAATTTCTTCAGCCTTTTTGGATTTTTTATACATTACCCTATCCCTCATTGCATCAAGGTATTCCTCATCATCTGTTCCCAAATTATCATCAGAGAGTCTATCCTCACTAGAATAGTCATCAGACTCATCATTAAATGGAATACTCATCATCATTTGAGCTTTCTTCAACATCATCAAAATTTCCATCCTCTGGAGGGATTGCAGCACTTTATACTGCATCTTCTGTTGCACATTTAGATGATTGTCCATTCTGTGCACATCCAATTGTCTTTTCACTATCTGAGCATACATACATATAAATAAGCTTTTTAGAAGAAGGTAACAGCTTCAATATCTCCATGACCCCAGTGTCATCATGTATTTCTTTGTATTCCTCTGAATTTGGAACCTTGTACAATATCTTTTTCCACTCTTTACAACCCAACTTATCAATTTCTTCTACCAGATCAAAGAAACCAAATCTATCCAAGTCTAGTCCAGTAACCAAGTGAATATTATCACCAAAGAAATCCAAGAAACCATCAATATTAACTATATACCCTCCGTAGTTGAAATAGATTGCGAAAGAATTACTGCAACATTATAAAGAAAGAGAACACATGTCACAGAACATTAAAATTAAATTCATGATTTAACTCGAAGTAATAATCATGGTTCAACAAATTTGTTGCACATGCCAATTACTAAACCCGCAACACAAAAAAAAAAAAAAAAAAAATTANAAAAAAAGAAAAAAATTACAGGCTCGAAGAATGGACATTTGCATTCTCATATTCCGTTTCTAAAATATAGCCTACAACACCACAATTTCATCTCATATGGAATAATACAAGGGAATGAGTGTACTTGTCGTCCATTACACACGATATTTCTTCTCAGATAGGGCTTCGCCAATTCCTCGCGTCTGCAATTTTAGGATTTTCGAACATTTGAAATTAGGGATTTGGAGTTTAGAAGGGAATTAGGGTTCTTAACTTGATTCACCTTTTAGCTAAGCCACGTCAATGCCACAGCATGGCCACATCAACCCCTCAAAATTTACGTCACTTCCAAGTCAGCACTCTGTAAATGGCACCGTGACTTGTGGTTTCTTTTTGCAAAAAAAGGAAAAGCTCGTGATTAAATTGCCAATTCCCAAAGGTGGTGATTAAAATGCAAAACTGTGAAAGGTGATGTATTAAATTGCAATTTTACCTTAATTTTATTATAAAATAATATATATGAATGACTATTTCGCCCTTAATGTTATTGTATTATTACGATTGTGGCATCAGAAGTTTTCCTATTGTAATGAAAATACATTAAGATAAGATCTTGTTTCTATTCTCTCAATTTCTCTGTAGTTTTATAACAATACTTATATTGTGCCCAGGAACATAAAACCTAGTAACGAAAATATCTATATCTATATCTATATTCTATATATATATAAAGAGGTTGTTGGAAAAATACATTAATAGAAAATTTGACCAAATAAATATAATTTTTGACTTACTATTAATGGAAAGTTCAAAAAAACACATGTGAATCTTTAATAACAAAATCTAAGTCCTATTTTTTTGGTAACAAATTTAGAGATTCTTATGCCAAATTTAAATCCCATTTTTTTTCTTATCATGTTTTATTTTTTTTACCAAAATTTAAATAATATCTTTTTTGGTAACAAATTTGGAGATTCTTATGCAAAAAATGTGTCAATTATTTATAAAAACAATTCTAAATACAAATTAATTTAAAAATCGTGCAAATTGGATACAAATTTAAGAAGCAAATAGTTGTATAATTCTTAACCAATTCCTCCAATCTTATTGAATAATTTTTTCTTTCAAAAAAATTGTGTAAATTGGATAAAGTTACGTGCAATTTTTATTTTAAAATAAAACTGATATTTGGACAAGATGTACATTTAAAATTATGTCCACATTTTTTGGTAACAAAAGCAGTTCATCATTGATATTTAAAGTCACCTTATCCAATTATTTAAGCTATGTTTGGTAAACCAAATAAGCTAGCTTATAATTTATTTGTTAGCTTATAAGCTTCCTGTATTCAAATAAGTCTTGTTTGGTAGGACGAGCTTATCTAAAAAGCTCGAGCTTATTTGATAAGCTTCTTTATGTAGCTTTTCAAATAAGCTAGTTGAATTTTTTATTCTAGGTAGCTTATCAACTAATTTTACCAAACACTTTTATCATATAAGCTAGCTTTTCAGCTATAAGCTAAAAAATTACTGATAAGCTATAAGCTATAAGCTATAAGCTAAAAAATTAAGCTATAAGTTAGCTTATCAGCTATCAGCTAGCTTATCAACTAGTTTTACCAAACATAGCCTTAGGAAAACTTGTGTGCAACTTTTCAAAATTTAAATGCATCGATGGATTCTTATGTTTTTTCTTAATCATGTTTTACCGAGATTTTGGTAAATTCATATCATTTTTTTATTTTTGGTTAAGTTCATATCATTTTCTTTAGGAAAAAGACACTTGCATAAACATTAACAATTTATTTCAATTTTTTTTAATAGAATTAATTTCAATTCAATTTGTTTGGTACAAAAATCCGTGCAATGTTAGAAAAATTCGATGGAATTTTAGGAAAAAGTGATGATTTTTTTATTTTGTTTAAAAAAATTTCGGATCAATTTGTTTGATAAAAAAATCGGTTTATTGTTAGAAAAATCGATTTCATGTCCAGGAGTAACTAATGATTCTTTTTAATTTTTCTTAATTGAAATTTAGAATTAGATTTAAAATAAATAATGGGTGAAAATCTCTAAAAAATTCTACCTTTTTTCTACTTTAATTTTGTTTAATAAATAAGATTCTTTAAATTTTTTACAAATTTGTTAGCTAATAACTAATAATATACAATTTTGGATAAATTCGACTTTACGTGTAAAAGAATTAAATCAATAATGTTGTACATAAGAAAATGTTTAATAACATATAAATTTCATTTTAATGAAATTATAAGACAATTTAAATAAAAAATAACTTTTAAAAAATAAATAACCGTACCGTTTCCATAAAATTTTTCACATGGCAGACATGAAGCGCCCCTTCGTCCATGGATCACAAACCCAAACGTCTGAATTATAAGAACTGTACATCCCTTCTCGCGCTAAAGTTCCCAATTGCTCATAATGTCTCGATTATCTGCTCGATGAATTGAAAATCCAAAGGCTTGCGACGATCGATTGGCTACGAGAGCCATGTTGAGCTCAGATTCAACTCTCCGGACCACAAAGCTTTCCGCCTTCGTGCCCCCGCTTGGTGCTCGCCCCATTTTCATGCGGTACAGTGAAACACAATCGCCATTTTTGCCTATTTCCTTTTGCGTCATTTATTTATTGCGGCCACATTGTAATTTTGGCTGATTTATCGACCTCCTCAGTTTTCATTGCAGCTGCAGACTGAAATCGATTGAAAAGGCGTCATCCCTTAAGAGATTTTCCCGCGAAGTAAGATCGTCCTTTCTTTTTTCGTCATCTTACTGTCCTTCTGAATTCCAAAGTATCAGAACCTCAGGGTTGAGAAATGGAGAAAAACTGATTCAGGTTAGGCAAGAAATGGGTGGAAGGTACGGAACTAGCTCTGCCGTGGTTGCAGCTCGAGCTGGTGAACAGAGTGTAGTAACTGTAAGTATGGCCATAGATGAATTCCCGTGTGCCGGAATCTCAAAGTCCTGGCCTAATTTACTTTCAGTTTGGTTTCGGGCTTTCTTATTTGTGGTCTGGTTGTGCAAATGTGCTTTGAGGATGTTTCGTTTTTTTTCGATTCTGCCTATTACGTCTACTTGTATTTAAAAAATGGGTCATTGAGTGCTTAAACTCTCCCTCTCTCTGTGTCAGTAATAAATCATTTTATATCTAATCTATTAATTCTTTTGAATATTTGTTAAACTATGTGATAGGAATATATATTATCTATACTTGACTATAGTAAACATTGTTGAGTACCCATTGTTTTGAGTTGGTGTCTTAGTCATGACATGAAATACCATCGATGTTTTTGTTGTAACAATCACAAGTGATATTGTTTGCAGACTAATTATAATATCTTATTCTTTTTCTCATTTCAAGGAAGAAGCAATCCAGCAGGTAGAAGAGAAAATGCTGAAAGTTTTACCAGGTCAAGCACATCCTCTAGGAGCCTCGGAGGTTGAAAGTGGAACCAATTTCGCAATTTTCTCTCAAAATGCTACGGCTGTTACACTTTGTTTAGTTCTTCAACATAGGTCAGTTATTCTGCCCATGTCGTTCATTGAATTTTTACTTTACGTCTACACAGTTCTTGTTATCTTTTGTACCCAGAATGTGGGAGTTCTTTGCTATTTAGAGTAATCTGATTTTTGGATGAAGTTTTCATTAGTATCCTTCATGTTGACAAGACAAATCAAAAGGTCCTGTTTTTCCCAAACATTGATGTCATAGGCTTGGTTGCCTTCATACCACTTAAAATTTCTCTGCCTCTTTATGTCTTCAATTGTGTATCTTTAACTTTGTAGATTTCAAGATGATTCTATTCCAAGTATAGTGTATGACTTTCAAAGTTGTTCCAGCATACGATCTTCTGGAATAAAAGGCTTTTTTCTCATATGGTTTTTGATATCCTCTTTTGTCTGTGTTGTGATATATACTCAGGGGATTACATAATGTACTTGATCAAGGGATGATTGAATTACCACTGGACCCGCAAGTAAATAAGACAGGAGATATATGGCACATCTGCGTGGAGGTAAGTCAATATATTTTTCATATTAATGTTTCTAAATTGAACTTTTCCATTTTGTAGAACAATGTTCATATATTCTTCTACATATAAAGAAAAGCAAAGAAATCATATGAATATAGAAAATTAACTTCTTATCAGTGCTTTCTATATAAGAATAGAAACTGAAGCTAAACTAATAACTCAGTTTCCCGGATGTGCCTGGCTCTTGTATGACTAAAGAGTACAGGCCATATTGTCCAATTGTTGAATATAAATATCTGTGATTGTGACATGTATCTAGGCATAAACTTGATACAAGAGAATGCTAGTCCTACAGTTCTTTGTGTGTCTCTGTTCTACGAGTTCTGTCCACTGTATCTTTGGTCGTGGAAAGCTCTAGTAGAAGAATGCCTTTCGATTAAGTTTTTTCAAATATTCTGTACCCTATTTAGGCCTTGTTGGGCTTAAAGAGCTGTGATGCTGAGAAGGGTCATCGGGTATAACGTTAAGTCAAAACTTTGGATGTTTTTTCATTTGGATATACATTTTCCGATATCACCCAGACGCTAAAAGATTAGATGTTGAGGTATAATTTCTTTTTCATTGGGGTCTTTCGATTTTTCTTAGCTGTTGAAGAACTAGTTGTGTTTTGTTTTGTTTCTGGGAGAGATACAATTATGAAGTAAAATGGCAGTGAACAAAGATTCTCTTTTAAATATCATATGATGCAGCTACCTGGCTGGTGCCATGGTAACCTTTCACTGCCTAAAAGGTTGCGTGATTCAGCAAGGAGGTATTCAATTAAGTTTCATAATGGGATATTTTGGTTTTAGTATTCCTTGCGAGATACATGTGTCTCATTAGTTAAAACTCTTACCAATGCTCTTTTGTTTTCCCTCTGAGTCTTTGAATGTTCCCGTGATTGACGGTTTACTTTTTAATTGTTTTTTATTTGCGTAGTTGTTTTAATTGGTGTCAGTTTTGCTGTATTTTCCACACAATATCCTTCATGGGGTTATGCTGATTCTACAATTGACGTTGTTGTTTTTTTGTTTTCTCTATTCTCCTTAAAAAGGATTTGCCACGGAATAATGTGTTATATGGTTATCGCATTGACGGTCCTTCAGACTGGCATCAAGGCCATCGTTTTGATTATAAGAATATTTTGCTCGATCCATATGCAAAGTTGATTGAAGGACGCCGAGTATTTGGTGATGCCAACCACAAGATGTCTAAGTTTTTTGGAGCATATGATTTTGATTGCTCACCTTTTGACTGGGGACCCAACTATAAGGTTCCAAACATACATGAGGTAAGGTGAACTGCATGAAGTAAATGGCTCGTTCATAATGTCTTGTGTGGAACATTTAAATAAGCTATTAATAATATATGTACTTAAAAGATTATACAGACCAAACTTCATTTGCTTGTCTGTATTTATGTTGAGTTGAGGTGACCAAAAATGTACTAGTTTTAACAACTAGTGAACTCTAACAAGTACATGTAATTTTTCAAATTTTCTTTTTAAAACTATGAGTTACATGGCAATGTTCAACATGGAGGTTTACTGAGTTTTGTCAAAAACTTTTTTTATGTTGTTTGTTAGGCAAGTTTACAAAATCAAGTGGGTATAAATAAATATGTTCCATAAACCACCAAAGAGACATTATTTTGAAGATCTCAGAATACTTATATATTGGTTCTATTATTTTTTGATGTGGGATGTTTTAGAATTGGCTGTATCAAGTTGTTAAATTAAACAAAGGGTATTCATGACCTAGTTGCCGGTGTCCAGTCTAGGTCTTGATCTGCCATTGGCTGAATGGACTCATGGAAGTATTGTAACAAGGGGATGAGCTAAGTAACAATGAATAGTTCGCCCCATTACTTGAAAATGCTTTTCCTCTTGTTCTGAAAATGAATACATACCCATCATTTACCTGTGCAATAGAGTTTTGGTCCTTTTGAATCTTGTAAATTTCATTTCTTTTTTTTTTTTTTTGTNTGGTTTTGTAGAAGGATCTTGTTATATATGAAATGAATGTGCGCGCCTTCACAGCTGATGAATCCAGTGGGCTGGATCCAAATATACGTGGCAGCTACCTTGGTGTGATAGAGAAGGTGCTAGTTTTTTGGTGGTGTAAAATTCAAATGTACTTTGATCGGTTTGTGTTGTTAACTGTTAGATGTGTTGCATCTGTTGGAGTATGGTGTATTAAAATGTACTGTCTAGTTTGATTCATGCCGTTGTGCCATATCATATCTTTATAATCACGAAAATCTATGTTTTTCTTTGTTTTTAATGGTGGGCGATTCGCTCGTTCTTCTTCTTCCTAAATATTTCTTTGTGACTTCCACTTCTATTTTGTTTTGGGCAAACACGTGTTATTAAAGCTCCAGTTTTCACATCGTAGTGTAACATAAGGAAAAAAACTAAATGTCGCACCAAGCCTATCTTTGTGGGATACCCGGAAATACTAATTGACCTATTTTTTTAGAACAGAGAGAATTGTTCTCAGGTCTACCGTTTCTTCTGCTATATACTGCAAAAGCTTTCTGCAGTATTTACACAACAGCTTTTCATCTTACTGTCCACCTTTGGCAACTATTCATATAGCTTTTTCATTCCACTCAGATGAATATCCTGTTTTTCGTGTTTAGCACATAATGATATATTACATCTATGACAATATAATGTATTAAAGCAGAATAGCATTTTGTTCTGCCATGATGGTGTCTTGTTTCTAATGAGCTGTTCTTAGGAAGAAAGTTCTATGGGTTCTAATATTTGCTATTTGAACGCATGGATTCAAATGCTGTAAAGATACCACATCTTGTGGAGCTTGGGGTCAATGCAGTTGAACTGTTGCCTGTGTTTGAGTTTGATGAAATGGAGTTTCAAAGGCAGCCAAATCCAAGAGATCACATGGTGAGTTTCAATTCTATGTATTCTACAAAGTGTAAGTTTTTGTGCATGAGCCACTTTGGCATCAATCTTGCTCCAGGAGCCACTCTGTCGCATAAAGTTACATATAGTGAGATTCTTTTTTCTACCGTACTTTAATGCTACGACAATTTCGTTTATGCTCATGGATGATGTGTGGCTTCATTGTTGGTCAGCATATTCATTGAATGTTACAATGAGGTGGCACAAGAGCTAATCATATACATAATCTGGTTCTAGAGTGCAAACCATGTGAAATCATATTTTTCTGCTAATTGTGCAAGAGGCATTAATGCTTATCTTTTTTCTATTCCCTGCACTATTTTAATGAAACCCATTGACTCCTTAGATTGCTTGAAATATTTTACTAATAAGTGTGATTATTCACCGAAATAATACATGTCGCATATTCTTAATAGAAAATAAGCAATATTTTTCACCAATTTTTTTTCAAATTGGCTTAATTGCAAAATAAACAATAATTTTCTGCAAACGACATAAAGTGGGAGAATCCTCAGTTTATGCTTTATGCAGAAGAAACAAAGTCCATAGACTCAGGATGTGCCTTGTATAAAGTGAATGTAGCTAATAAGAAATTGATGATTGTATAATCTCTCACTCTTCTTTTTTGAACATTGTTTTCTGTGTAATAGTATCTTTATCAGAAAAAATAAAATAAAAACTAGTTTTCTTGTTGAACATAATATCATAAAGCATGACTCTTGGCATAAGAGGTGTACAAATGAAGGAGTTATAGCTGTTATCTTACCATGGGATATTGTTCTTCAGGTCAGGTCCCGGTCCCCGGACCAATTCGCACATTCCTTTTGTGCTTGATTTAGCGTCTTTTAGATGTGGGCTTTTCGGAGTACAAAGCATTCTGTATTTTCTAATTTTTGACATAGCATACTCAGTCGTTTTTAGTTTTCTTTTTATAAAACAAAAATTCTCATCATATTATTATTATTATTATTATTATTATTATTATTATTATTATTATTAACTACTGTGATCCTTTTTCCTGTGTGAATTAGAAAGGAGTCTTCATTAAATTGTGTAGCATATTTGTGGACACTGATCTATTCTGGTCATGCTCATCCACTATGAGCTGCTATGCTGTTTGGCTGATCTTATATAATTTTGGAATTTAAAACTGTTATTGAATAAATTAAATTTGATGTTTCCAATTGTTATTGTCTGCGAGATCAATACGTGGGGTTATTCAACTATAAATTTCTTTGCACCTATGAGTCGATATGCAAGCAATGGTGGAGGATCAAGTAATGCTTCACGAGAATTCAAATCAATGGTTAAAGCATTGCATGGTGCAGGTATTGAGGTAATCCTCTACTCTTTTCATGATTTGCACTTCAAAAATTTAATTTTATGGCTAACTGTTGAATTAAAGTTTGATCCTAACTGTAGAACTAATGTTTGACGCATTTTCTATGTTTTCTTTCCACAGGTCATTTTAGATGTTGTTTACAACCACACAAATGAGACCGATGATAAGAATCCATATACTACTTCATTTCGTGGCATAGATCACAAGGTGATTTCCTGTTCCTTACTAAGTGTTTTCCTGTATTGATTATTTCTTTTCATGTGCAGTGTATACTTTGTATCTTATCATGTATCATGCTTTTCTTGATAGTCACTTATAGAACGGATCATGACTCAAATGATTTACAGACTGGATTCTATTTATTCATTGCACTTGCCCCATTGGGGAGAATGCTTATTTTATAAATGCATACATGACTTGGTGCGACTTGTATTTTGTAAATCTTAACTTCTGAAATTAAGCAGTTCTTGTTTCATGATTTTTACAACATCTGCAGTTTCAGATTTGTTCGATCCCTCCCTTCAAAAAAAAAAAAAAAGAAAAAAAGAAAAAGAAATCCCAGCCCAACAAGCATACTTTACACGTCTTGATGGATTTCTCTTGTAATACACAGATTCCCAAGAACCTTTCCCAATCATGTCCCACAACATTTTCCCACTCAATACCGAAACATTCTCTTCATTTCTCATAAATTTGGTGGATGGTTGTAGAACTATCTACACCAACTCTTCTGATGTTCTCATCAGGACTGGTTAACATATTGATGTCTTATCAGGGTGTGGGATTCTACCATGTTGCTGACTCCCCAATACTTGGTATTTGAGTCTTCATTTGTAGACGCTTTAACCTTCAGCCATTTTCTGTATTTTTTCTCTCAAGTTCAATGTGCTACTGTTATGAGCGAAAATCCTGCTAATATTCCTTAAGTGGGATTGCTTGATGGAGTCATTTCTCAGTATAATTATAATAACATAGTCGTTTTAAATGTTGTAGGTTTATTACATGTTAGACTTAAATGGCCAGTTGGTGAACTACTCTGGTTGTGGTAAGTCCAATATCAGCCTAAGCTGCGGGACAAAATTTAATATTGTTGAAAGGTTGATTTGCATTTCTTATTTTATATTACATTGATTCAGTTTATTAGACATCTTTAAATTATTATTTTTGAATCCTTTCACTATTCCTAGCTCAAGTACTTCAATTAAGTCTAATGGTTGGTACTGGTAAATTGAACTCTTGTATATGAGCTAAGCTTTTCAGCATGGTTTAAAAGAAAATCAGAATAGGCTAGACTAACTATACACAATATTGTCTTCTTGCTTTGATTACATTTGATCTGTAAGTGGTGAAGTCACTGCTATAATTGGACCATGTTGATTGATGATGTGCTGAAAGCAAAATCCTTCATTGGTATAGTTTATGATAGATAATCTTTATTGCTATGATATGTAATCTGCTTGTCTAGGGAATACGTTGAATTGTAACCATCCTGTTGTCATGGAACTTATTCTCAACAGCTTGAGGCACTGGTATGTCCTTATTTGTTTCAATAACCTTATTTATTTGAATACGTTAACATCCGTCTTCAGTTATGCAATTCGTTAAGTTTGTAATTTTTGTGTAAACGTATAACGTGTATGAAGCTTGTACTTTTCTTGACTTGCGTATGTATAAAGTGAATTCATTTGAAATTACCGGAAAAATATCAGAAATCAATATATTAAACTAATTCAGTAATGATTATATTCGAGTTTCTATATTTTGATTTTAGCTGGTTGCATTCCTGATTTCATATGGTTTTATTTTTTCTCTACCATACAATTAGTCAATTATATAGGAGGCATAAACATTTCTGATATGTGCTGTCCTTTGTAACCACTAACCAGTTGCAGTTAGTTCTCTATCTATACTATTTTTTTTTGTGTGAACAGGATTGTGATTGTTAGTTCTCTAAGATAGATATTCAGTTATTTATTTTTCATACTTTGTTGGCTAAACTCTTTTTATAGATTTATTTTGTAGTTGTGTGTGCATATATTGTCAATATGCTTGAGGAAACTTCCCTGCTGCGAGAACCAAGCAGTTAAGCACTATGCTACAATATGTCATATTTGGGTATTTAAGACTTTTATTTGCCACGTATGCTGCTTATCAAGTGAAGGATAACCACGGAATTTTAAAAATGGTGGTGATAGTTTTGAAATCTTGAATAGCATGATATGCTACTGATAATAGTTCTCAGGTATAACAATATGACATATTGCGTAGTGTCATTCCAAGAAATGGTTCTTATTTGACACACAGACACACACACAAAAACATATACATCCATTTACCTATTCAGAAAATCAAGCAGTAAAGTGAATATCAAGGTACCAGCGCTTCTTTCGTCTAAAATTCATTATGGGGTTTCAACAGCTGTTAGTACCAATCCACTGTGCGCAGCTATCCCGTGGCCGATTTCTCAATCTTTATATATTTAATCCTGGAAGCTTCTACCAAAGAGGCAAATTTCTTTGGAGATTTTATTGTTCAAACATTGTGCGTAATTGCCTTGAATTTATCTCTTACTTCTTGTCCCCTTGTAATTTTTTCCAAAAAAAATAAAAAATTGATTTTTTACTCATAAGCAGATACCTGTTTCATTTGTTTGATTAGTTTCATGATTTGTAAGTAATTTAATTTTTTTTTATTGCATTTATAGATTGAATAAACTATAGCAGTAACCTAGTATAACTGATGAGATAATTTTCGTTGTCTTCTTGGAAATGTGAATGTTAGGAGTGCAGAATCAGGAAACAGGAAATACATAATCTTATTGATGACAACAATAATAGCAACATAACATGTAGCAATCTTCTTCAAGTAGATAGATGTCTGCCTGCTTATGCTATTGACAACCCTATCTTATATTCATTTCTACTGCAAATATCAATATTATCAAGAATAGAAGGGGCAAGAAATTATGTAGCATTCAAGGGAATAAATTAAGTTAATATCCCAAAGGCTAAGCACCAACTGGGATACCAATAAATAAGCATAAGAGATTCTAAACTTGATTTTCGTTCGCACTTCCATCTCTGTAAGTGAACCTTGAGTACTTCATCACTCCCTTAATCAAAATACACAGGCACGGTGGTGTCTAGCTGTATAACTTGATTCTTATTAATAGTTGGTGATTCATCTATTATTGATAAGTATAGAGATTTTATTCGTAGTTTGTTTTATACCAGTATGATTGGTTGTATGTTTAGTGATACCGTTGTCTGGTTTCTTTTTTTGTACCTTTTTTCCCATTCATTCTCATTTTTTGATTATTAAGAGGTTATATGGCGAATAAATTTTTGTTGATTTCTTCATAAGATTATTTACTGATTTCTTCATAAGATTATTTACCTTGGTCTACTGCTAGAGAAGATATATTGTTGCATTCGTGTTGATTGAGTTTTCACTCTTCTAACTAGCCATTTTACTTGAAGGGTCACAGAGTATCATGTGGACGGGTTTCGTTTTGATCTCGCTAGTGTGCTTTGCCGAGGAACCGATGGTTCTCCACTCAACTCTCCTCCATTAGTCAAGGTAACTTCTTTACTGGACAACACATAATGAAACAATCAGTTCATTGGACATTATAGTTAAATGGGCTTGGATGGAAGTTCAAATTTCATATTAACAATCGACCCCTATTAACGTTCATAGGCCATATATTATACTAGATATAAACTAGCCAAACAAGAAATGAACCCTACAATAATAATTATCCTAATTGATAAACATAATAAAATCAACTATAAACTAGATACGATATCATCAAATCTCTATATATGTAAAGACAGAGTTTTTTTTACCACTATTATAAAGTTTTAGAATTTACTAAATTTAGCATGAAGTTTCTTCTTCTGGAAAATCAAGCATGAAGTTTCTTTTTTTGGAATGTCCCTTTTACTTATAATAATTTTCATTTTATATAAAATATTTTTATATAAAAGCCATAAAAAGTCATCAATGTCATATTTTATATTTAAAATATATTTAGTAAACATGTAAATAACTTATTTAATAGGTAAATACAATAAACTTTTCAAATAATATATATTAAATTATAGCATGCAAATAATCTCATCGCGCAATATAGTTTACCAATTATACAATCATTATAAATTATTTTATCTATTGTAACGTCATTTACTATTGAAAGTGTACACATCCAATTGTTTTCATAATATAAGAGAATAAATAAATAATTATCTTTACATATTAAACAAGCATTTGAAAATTATTGAGCATGTATTTCTCTTCCTATTTACACAACATTTTTAAAATATATTTGAACTTATTGAATTTAGTTTTCATAGGTATCCTCAATTTACTAGAAAATTTTTACTAGATTAAAGTTTCAAAATTTATTATATTTTTTAAGAAAAAAAAAACAGTCACAATATATGGAAAAATATGTAATTATTAAATTAGCATGTTCATATGATATCCAAATTGAATTTGAAACATTCTAAATTGAAGGAGAAACAACAATTACAATAATTAAATATGCTATGAATAGTAATGTACATTAATCCATTTTATAAATGAAGGAATTCCATTTAACTTTTAAAATAAAATGCACGAATAAAAAAACTTTGCAAGGTGGTTTTTATATTTATTTTATTTGTTGTTTTTTTTTTTCCTTTTGCCTTTTATAGATTTTGAGATAAGGATGTAGTTAAATTTAATTCGGGTTGTTGGTTTCTATATTGTCTAATAATGGACACTGTGATGGTTGTCTAGGTGCGATAAGATAGCTGGCTTTGGCGTGTTAAACTTACTAAATAATATTGACATCATTTGGCATTTTTAATTTCATTTCTTATTTTTTTCTTATACATGAAAATCTAGTGTACATTGGTGAGATTGGATATATTTTGTACAAATGAAAACATTTTTGCTGGAGAAAAAAATAGTAAAAAATAATTATTTTTATAATGTAAAGTGATTTGACATAGAGAGTAATATGGAAATGTGATGTGATAAGGAAATGTTAAAATAATAACTGCTAGTTAACTAATATGTGAGATGAATATTAAGCTGTATAAAGAAACGTTGAAGCGCATTGCAGTGGATGGTTTATGATTAAAGTTTTTGCAAAACAGAATTTAAGTTAACTTTGTAAGTACAAATATTGTGAATTATCCTTGTGCAAACAGAACCACCAACACCCACAAAAACAAATAGTGACCATTCTCGCCGTTCAAATTTGAAGGAACTATAGATGAAATCCCCAAAATAATTTCATCACTAGACGAAAGGAGTCCCTCATCATGGATTTCATGACCGTGACATCAACGTCCACCATGTGCTGCTACCTAGCACGAGAGGCCTAGGACGATTGCTAGTTGTCTGTGGCGATTCCCAAGACTTCCTATTTTGGAGGGCTACCATCTGTTTGTCAACAATTTAACCTGTTGATGGACGGTGTTCAAGAGTCACCAAGGATGAACAGACAAGTAAATAAAAAAAGTTAATAACTCTCAAATTATCATATCAATAATCCACCCCTATAGACCATATATTTATACTAGATATAAGCTTGCGCTACAGGAAATGAACCCTAACAAGAATAATTATCCTAATTGATAAATATAATAAAATTTAATAAAACTAACCCTCAACTAGATTAGACATTATCAAATATTATCTAAAGATACTACTATATCTCCGTGAGGCTGCCCACCCACATTTATATGCAATGATCTTCATGCACGTTGTGTTATTGTTTTTCAATAGCGTGATCTCACTCCGTAGGCGATTTTCCTCCTTTACACAAGAAAAAGGGACAAATGGAAAATATATTACCTAGTTTAACATTGGAATTTACACAATTCTCACAGTTGAAATCTATTTTTTTTTGTCAGTATTGAGTGCTTCAGTATTGCAGGCAATTGCTAAAGATAACATCCTCTCAAGATGTAAGATCATTGCAGAACCCTGGGATTGTGGAGGCTTATATCTTGTAGGAAAATTTCCCAACTGGGATCGGTAATTTTTGCTATTCATCACTTTATTAAGCATTTAACTGGAAACTAACTCAGAGTTGCAGCAAATTGTAAAATGAAGGAATATCTTTTATTGCATTACCTGCAGCAAATATAACAAATTAAGAGTTGAATAAATATATTCTTTTGAATTTGTTCTGCGCTGTTGTTTTGGTTGACACCTGCGGCATTTGTTGAAGTCTGCCAATAAAATAGAAGTGTAGAACTCGTAATTGGTTGTAATTGCATTATCCGAGTGATCAAGTTGCACCAGGAAGTTGTTATTTTGTTTTGGGCCCTTATTCTGCTTGGCGATTAGATTCCTTGCAATCTCTATTTTCTTTTCATCTTTTTCTCCTTTGTTTTTTTTTTCTCTTTCTTAGAATTTCTTTTACCCTTACTNTCTCTCTCTCTCTCTCTCTCTCTCTCTCTCTGTGTGTGTGTGTGTGTGAGTAGTTGCAGATACATTTATATGCAAAAAATCCTCAGCTTTTCTGAATTGTATGTCACTTGCTAATATTATATTCAGTAGAGGCTCAGAATCTTGAGCTGAACTCTTACGTCGTGAACAACTTTTATGTTCCTCATTCTTAACAGTTTGCATTATGTTCTTTCAAGATGAACATGAAAATGTGGATTTCTTGGGCCTACAGGTGGGCTGAATGGAATGGCATTTACCGCGATGATGTTAGAAGATTTATAAAGGTGCTGGAAATGGAAACTCGTTTATAAGATTATTAAGTTTAAAATCATGGATTTCTCATTTCTGAAATAGTAAATAATAAACATTTGATAGTTGGCATATTGTGTGGAATTGTAAATTCTATCAAATCTATGTTGGGGATACCCTTGTGAATTAAGGAAAGGAAGGTAAAATGGCCACAAGTAGTTTATGTGATAAGGGCATCTAGAGTGATGTACCCAAAAAATAGGTTTGTTCTAGAGACACATCGTTGCCACATCAAAACTTAGAAACCCATTTCTTGCACCTTAACCACAAACCTACTATAGTTTGTTACGATATATTTTTTTTTCCTTTTTTTTTTTAAATTTATTAAATATTCAATTATCTCTACATCTCTCCTCTCACCTCACATGAAACTAGCTCTTTTTGCCACGTTGTGGTTTAGATTTTGCTGGCAGTTCCATATATGGTAAACCTACATAGGATATCTATCACGTGATAAACATTGATCAATGGAGATAATGGAGACTTTTTCTACCCACTTCTGGTCCGGGTTTATGGTAGTTGTTTTATATAACTTCTCTACTGAATATTTTCTCTGCTTGGATGATTACTTGAAGACGATAATAACTGAGTTTAGTTTTCTGTGGCTCCATCTTACTCACTAAATTAAGTTCGAGATTTTTGGGAGTTGCTTTTTGACGCTGAAGCTTTTCATGTCATTCTGTAAATTTTTTGATTGCTCAAATTATTCTCTCTTTTTTGTTTTTTGAGAAAAATATTGTTTTCTACTTAGGGTGAGAATGGTATGAAAGGAAGTTTTGCTACTAGAGTTGCTGGTTCTGCTGATCTGTACCGAGTAAGTGATTTTCCTCTAACTTGTTATCTGCGGTAACCATTGCCACGAGGGTTGTTACCCTTAAGATGTAATGTGTCACTCGCTTATGGGCTTAATACTATGTTGTTTTCTGTTTTCTTAAAGATGAGTCGTGTAATGTGTCACCCGGCTATGGGCTTAATGCTATGTTGTTTTCTGTTTTGTGGCCAAAGCCTCTCTTTCTGATGTGAATTCAATTCGGGTATATTAGAATCGAATAGGGTTTAGGAAATTCAATCTCATGCGGGTCAGGTTGCTTTCGTTAGCTGGTATAGGGGTCCAAGCGTGTCATTGAAGGTATAGATGATGTCTACTATGAAATTATTTTTATTGTTATTTTACTATTCAACTGGATGGAACTTTGACAAGTCTCAACCGTCAAAACTGTACAATTGACGGGCCAAAAGGACTGTCATTTCATTCATAGCCAAAATCTTGTCTATTTTGTGTGCTTATCTATCATATGTTTGGAACGATGAAAATGTTTCATAGTAAAAAGGAAGAGAAGATGAAAGATCGACATATTTCCTGCAAAATCCAAGACTTTTGTCTCTACGAGTAAAATTGAGAAAGATGGAGGCTGCATTAGAATTTGTTTAGATTTTCACCAGTCTAAATTAAATTTGTGAAACAAATTAACCTTTTAGTATATTTTTATCAAACGAGCTCTAGGAAAAAACTAATAATCATTTCCCATTTCAACAATAAAATTGCACGACATACTTGCCTTTTTTAAAAATACAAAAACTTTCTATCATTTGCTTCCGGTTGAGTGTTGCCAAGGCTCTTCTGATGTATGTTAATTTTGAAATGATCTTGTTCTTCAATAGTGTCGTGACTGTACAACCAAATTATTTACTGGTTATTACTCAATATAGGTAAACAAGCGAAAGCCATGGCATGGTGTCAATTTTGTAATTGCACATGATGGATTTACTCTATATGACCTTGTGTCTTACAATTTTAAGGTATCACACGCCACTATGATTTCCACTTTCCTGCTTAATTTGGTCGATTTTAATATTAGCTGTACATTTACTGTCATCCTGTTGCTGAAAATCTAGCACAATGATGCTAATGGTGAAGGTGGAAATGATGGAAGCAATGACAATTTTAGCTGGAACTGTGGCTTCGAAGGTAGATAACTAAACATCCTTATCTTTTGCTCTATATCTAATTAGTTTAATTTCTTATTAATACATTTTCATGGTATGAACTGTAAAATATTTACTGCACTTACTCCATGCGGTTTTAAGTAGTTCAAGCTATTTATTAAGTCAGTCGAAAAAAATTGGTTAACTTATGCTTTCCAACATGGTTATACTGGCTAAGTGGGTCTGTGTAGAACTCATTCCGAAAGGCTAGCTCAAAGGGACAGGGTGCCCAACCCAACCTATGGACTATAACATGCCAAAACTTTGCTATGTGGGACAAACATAACTTGTAAAACCCGCTCTCAGGCACAGCATGCCAATCTAAATTCGTCACCACACATTGCCTCTAAACAAACAAAACTGGGTGCTCTAATACCATGTTAAAAGGGTCTGGGTCCACACCTAAAACAGTTAGCTTAAAGGGAGATGGTGCCCTATCCACTCTTAAACATGATAACAACCTAATACTTTCCACCTTGTGATATAGGAAAAACATAACTTCTAACAACACGCACGGTGTTTGTTATTTTGCATGCTTTATAGTTTCATCTTAATGAGTAATGACTTCTCAATGTTTTTGTGACATGATGAATGCAATCTCACTAATTGAATCCTTCAATTTCAACCTTAATTTAGGAATAGTTGAACTCCAAAAGTTGCCCTTTGGCCTATGTAATTTACTATGCAGTTCTAGTGGTAGCAGTCTATTTTCCTGCAAGAAGTGAACTAGGAGCTAAACAAGTCATTAAAAGCTGGAACATATTGAGTAGTAGAAAATTCAGTACATATTAGTTGCAACCAGAGAAATGGTGAGAATCAAAATAAAATGTTCCAAAGAGAATAACTGTGAAATACACTAAATTGTGAATATATTTTGATTGGTATGTGGCTTTGGCATTCCATTGGACCTACTATGTAATATGCATCCAACATATGGGTCTTTTTAAGATGATTTCCGAATGCTTATTATCGGAACTTTTAATTTCTCTATCTAATTGATTCCTTCTTGACTTTCAATATATGCTATGAAATTTTGTCGATTACCTACTTAGCTGCAAAATCTTCTGTGAGGTTTGTTTCGATCTGAGTAAGGATTTCATTCTGCAGTCTCTGATTGTATACGTTGCAGTGATCTTTTGCTCATTTTCTTGTAAAAAAATGTGACATTTAATGTTCAAAGGATGTGTTCTCTTTTCAATTAGAAACCACAGTCGATTTGAATAAGAATGTTTTTCAGTGCCGAATCTTGAAGCACCTGTAGGGCTTTTCTGAAATGCTTTGTTATCCTTTTCAGGGGAAACTGAAGACACATTTATCAAGAAACTGCGCATGCGGCAAATGAAGAACTTCCACGTGGCACTGATGATATCCCAGGTAGGCATGATTTTGAAGATGTATCAAGAACCCAAATGTTGAAACATCCCAAATAACTTCCATCTGAATTAGTTCATTCTAGTATTATGTTCATTGCAGCAGAGGTCTACATAAGAGGCATTCTGCTATTTTCTGCTGCATGCCTTTTGTAAACTTTACTTCCGATTGGTGATTAATTTCATTGATTGCAAGTAATTATATTACCATAGTATTTGGCTGCTCTCTGTGATATGTTTCTGCTTATTATATTATTTCTCTTTACTTTACATGAGGCTGCCTATGTACTATATTTTTTTACCACCAAAACTTTTGCTCTTGGCTTCAATACCATAGTTGTTTACTTTGCTAGTCTCATCTTTTAGACGTCATCCTTTTCCAGTTTACAAATCAGTTTTCCTTCGTCGTCAGTAGGATCAGACTCCAAGTTTGTGTTTTGTATCATTATTAGAGATGTTGGAGCTTATGTCTCTTCATTCTTACATTTCAGCTATCATCCAACCTTTCTACATTCATCATACATTTCTGTTGAAATGAGAATAGTATATACGTACTGAATCATTTCTGCTTGTGACAAAATTTTCGTAAGATGAGAACTTGCAACTTGATTAGTCTTTGAATGCTCATGTGTTTGTCCTTTGTTAATTGTTATCAGGGAACTCCAATGATGCTAATGGGAGATGAATATGGTCATACCCGATATGGAAATAATAACAGCTATGGGCATGATAATGCTCTCAATCATTTCCAGTGGGGACAAGTATGTGGTTTTTTGGTTTTTACTTGAATCTCTCTGTATATATTTTATCCGTTGTTTGTAAAGTGGGATCAAAATGTGATGACAGCTACAAGACATGAAGAAAGATCTGTTTAGGTTTTTCTCAGAGATGATTAAATTTAGACGTGGTCATCATGTCTTTACAAGAGAAGATTTCATTAGCAAGGTAACTTTTTTTTTTTTATCTTCAGATGTCTGAGTTGTCTGTTCCAATTGGCATGGATTTGTGTTGCTTTCACTGGATATTACTCACAAATACAGTCATAGTGGATAAATTGCACTTGATTGTCGATTCTAGCAAAATGTTTCGAGCAATACAACTTTTTGGAGGTCCATCGAGTTTGCCCACTATACTAATCTTTATTTTGAGTAACCTTTATCTTTATGTTGCTCAATGCTCTTAACCTTATGCCTGGGACATATGAAACCTCATTAGTAATATACGAAGTTCCATAGATTGGATTTTAATGCTCGGTTTTACTCTATCAGGGCAGAAAATTCTAAATGCATGTAAAATAGCTCCTTTAAATTTTTGTGCACTGGTTAACTATGAGCTTAACCTGTTAAGCCTGCTTTGGGCTGCTGACACTTAACAAATGCAAAAACTAATTCTAAGCAAATTTGTTTAGAAGACTCCAAGCGCAATATGTGATGAGTATCTCAGTGAATTCTTTACTTCGTATGTGGTGCATGTCTAATTTGGCAACGGATTCATATGCAGTATAGGATTAGAGTGTGGATAGTTGTAGCATGTTTCTAATGAAATTGATTGCAAATAGATATGAAATAGACCACATTCAGTTACCTGTTGGAAAAATGTTTGTGGGGGAGACCTTTTTCATTTGCCGTTATAGCTGAAATTTGTTAACTTAGTACTCTTTTTCAGGATCTAGACATGCGCTCAAGTGCAACAAGTTGTTCCATAATGAACTTTAAAATATTACCTATCTTGCTAGCTTACGTTAAGCTTTTTTGTTTAATTTTATTTTTATTGCCATTTTCAACTTTGCATTGAATCTAACTTGGCATACCTTTTGATTCAGAAAGAGGTGACATGGCATGAGGACAAATGGGAAAACTGCGAGAGTAAATTCCTTGCATTTACGTAAGTTGTACTCCTAGCACTTCTAGAATGCAGATGTCTTACGAATTTGTTTTCTCAAAAGTTATAATTTGCTTGCACAATGCGCATCATATAACTATACTTTTTCCAATCATATTTTGCATCAGAATGTTGAGGACCATATAGCCATGAGAGCTAGGAAAAGAAACAATGTGCGCACGATGAATCTGAATTGCCATTTATATGATAATTTAGTTGTTCGGATATAAAGTAGTCCCTAGCAGCTGGATTTTTCACAAATGACCTTTTTCTCTTGCCAATAAAATAAAATAAGTAATCTGATTATTAACTGACATTTACAAGTATTTGCATGTGGGTGCAGCTATATGCATGTTGTATTGTACTTTATATTCACGTTCCACAAGTTTTCTGCTGTTAGTAATGAGACTGGAGCTTCTTTTTTTTTTTTCGTTTTTTTTTTCAATGGTTATGGCACATATACTTAACTACGAAATGTGTAACTTTTTTTCGTGAATTCAGTATAATAGGCTTAATATCAGTTTCTTTATCAGTAGTCTCTCGAATTGGACATGTTATCCTTCTACTCTAGAACTATTCAACTGTTGGCGCATGTATGTGGAAATTGACAATTTAGAAAGTCTTCCGTATAAACCCTGTACATTTCTGCTGTTACATAAAACTTTAGCCATGCGAGACTTTTTAGCATCCATATAAAGCCTTTTTACTGGGGGGAAAGGAGCTGGCTTTTAATTACATAACGTACATCCAATTGTACTTGGGTCATCTATATACCTAACACCTTATTGGAGCAGCAAAGTAACTAGTTAGTAAATACCCTTCCAAAATTCTTCATCCCTATGCATTCAAAATCCTAACTCATGTACTATAGAGTATAGAGCAATAATTAATTCTTTCAGTGGGTGAAAATGTAATTTGGAGTAAGTGAATAGGCGCGAAGTTGGGAATTCAACTATTTTTTTTTCTCTGGTCTACATACTAGTTCGAACATTTATAAATATCCAGAGAACATTATACCTTGTCTCTTATGAACAATTGATATCTCAGGCTTCATGAAGAGAATGGAGATGATCTATATGTGGCATTCAACGCACATGACTACTTTGTGAAAACTGTTATACCTTCACCACCACAAAGAAAACGGTGGTTCCGTGTGGTGAGTTACTAAATTCAATTCTGCCCTTATCTTTCTAATTTCACACCACAAAGAAGTCATGCATTATATGCTTTCTACTTTATGCTTATTTTTCGGATCGTCCAAATTGATATTCACTGCAAGTTCTCTGGTTTTGCCCGTTTCACTTGAAATCTGAATTTTGTTGATCCATACTTTTCCGTTCATATTCATAGTCAATTTCCTTTTACTAGTGGACTAAATTGTGCTGCATATCTAGATTACGTAAGTTCAACTTGCCTCATTCATTGTCAAGAAGAATACAGTTGATGTGCAGTCTCATTCTCGTTGTACATTGTCAATAATTTGGACTATTTGTCTGCATAGGGTTGTTCAGTATGCAATTTAGGGTAGAAATTTGTAGTTAAACAATGTGCCAACAGCCTTAAAGAAAGACAGTCACACCATTCTGTTGGGACTATATGTTTTTGGTATAGTTCGACTTGTATACTTATTATACTCAAGTATGTGATGTTGCTACTCTGTGAAGTGCTGATTTCGGTATGCGCATCAATCTTCTTTTAAAAAGTATACGTGCTTAATTTTATTTTTTTATTTTTCTTTTCTTTTCTTCTTTCTCTCTCTCTCTCTCTCTCTATCGTGTGTGTGTGTGTGTGTGCACGCATTTGAACTGCATGACCAAATAAAGCATCTCTTATAATCCTCCATCGCACAAATATAGACCTATAGCTGTTTCACTTTCACGCTTGTTTAGAACCCGTTGGTTAATATTGTTAAAATATTGCATCTTCCAATGCCTATTTAGTTGTTTTATTCATCTACTAAGATTCTGCAATAGCGAGTCAAGGTTAATGGACTGGTGTAGCCTCAACACACTAAGTTGGGGTATACATGAATATGAATAATCACGTGCATAAATGTAACAACTAACCTATCATTGTGTGACACACTTAACAGTAACATGACCTATATTTATGAGATGAAGAGCCAAGTGCAATTGGAGTAAATTCACAAAACTGAATTTTTTTTTTTTAAATATATTCTCCCTTAAAAACGTTGTTGCAATCATTTCACATGCATTTCCTAATTTATAATAGTGAATATCATATACTAAAATTCAGTGGCCCCTGCATCTTTTTTTCCTAGTGGCTGCATGATTAATTTGTAAGGGTTGTTACAGGCATTGGTTGCTGATGAGACATTGTTTTATCTGTATTAAATAAATTGCAGGTAGACACCAATCTGGAGTCTCCCAACGACTTTGTTGTAGAAGGTGTTCCAAGCGTGGGGGATATTTACAATATTGCTCCTTACTCTTCCATTATTCTTGAAGCCAAACCGAATGTGTAATGTTTTGGGCTTGTGTTCTTCTCAAGTTGCTTTTTAGTTTCTAAAGTGTACTCAATTTTGCTTACTTAATATGTTGTATACTAAGGGAAGTACAAGTTCAATAATGTGAATTACAAAAACTAAAATGAATTATTACAATTTATGAAAAAGTTGAATAGTGGTTCTTGAGACAGAATTCAGAATTCAATGGTTCTTATG